AGCTGTACATCAAGATGCCCTCACAAAGAAAATTATTTTTAGAAGAGTACGTAGAGTAAGTGGAAATAGTCGTTTTCCCTAGTGCATGCAGATTTTTTTCTTCATTCCCACAGGCTCTGCTCCTAAACTGTATGGTGTCTGCCTAATTCAGTCTGCTACCTCTTTATACAGAAAGATAAAATGAAAACTTATCACAGAGCCTGAAAGTGTTCAGGACTCTTCATGAGGAGTCCTTGTCCTTAACAAGAAAATCCTCATCTTAAGCCCAACTGTTTTTCTAAATAATGAAGTGAATTATCTGTTAAACACAAAAATGACAGCCAGACTGGGAAAATGTTCACATGAAAATCACATCAGATATATTCTGCTTCCTCCCACTTTGGGACATAGGTTCATTGAGTGGAATAACGAAGAATTACAAATACTATGTAAATTGACTTTTGGTGTTAGTGGGGCTATTTTGATTTACGTTTTTGATCAAGCAGATATAGTTTAATTTGGCTTTGTTAAATAAACCAATGAGAATAATAAGTTCCAATGTTTTTAAAAGTCATTGTTATTCAGCATTCTAGTTCATAAATACGACTCCATATACTAAAATATGAATTGGTGGAAGTACATCTTCCCAAATGATGCTCAGATTATACCAAGTAGGTTTAAAAGTAGGTTTAAAGGGGAAGTTGCTCAGAAAGAAAATGGAAAACATCTCATAATATATTAATAATATAGTAGAACTGTAATGTCATAAATGCAATTAAAGAGTGAATATTTAATAAAACTTGAAGTTGTATAACTCCCATGTATACTAAGAAAAAGTAACTGAAAAAATTCATACCTCCAAATATTTCCAATAATTTCACTTTAATTGGGCCTAAAAGTTGTTAGAGCCAGGAAGAAAAAAAAAAAACTTAATTGAATTTCTAAGCTATAAAAAGGTACATCTAACAGAAAAAAAATAAGTAAATTCTTCAGGTTAATTTTGTCTGTGTTGATAGAAAAGGGAAGGAAAGGAGGGAGCAGTGTTGCTGGGAGAACAAAGGTAACATAACAATAGGCTAATTAGTCCTTAAACCCCAGAGGGTGGGATTGCTTCCTCCTGAGAGGCTTTGGGAAACAAAAGGTCTCCCCCCATTAACTGGAATCTGGGTGACAGCTCCCTTCGAGGAGAGACACATCAGTGACCCCTGACACCAGTAGTTGTGAATGCAACTCAGAGGTGGAAATACAGAAAGTCTCTTCTTCAGGAAGCGACTCCCATCTCTAGGGACCTGTGGCCCCAATGATGCAATAAGCTCTGCACAGAGTTATCCAGACTAATTGATGAAAAGCAGAGGAAGAAATAACATGGAGCTATGAAATCTCCCCAACCTGCAAGATGTTGGCAGGCAATGTATATGGAAAAGGAGTATTGTTTTTAATAATGTTGGAATCCCCAAAATAGCCCATAGTCTGGTGATAAATTCTTCCACAGTAAATTAATCACATAACAAAAACCACCCACGAAAGTACTCTAAGTAGTATTCTTTCAATCCATCTCAATGATTATATCACAACTATGGATGGGCTGTAATGCACAATGCCTGGCCTGTGTCACTTTTTTTTTTAATTAAATAAGTGAAAAGTAAAATTTTAGCTAATAAAGATATAGTCACTGTTACTAATATCAAAAAAATCAAACTTAATCTCCAAATTAAATATAGAGTACCCCCCACACACTTTGAAGAATATAGAGGCAGTGTTTATTAAAATACATTTCATTTTCAACACTGAGCTATCTGCTGTTGAAGTGTGTACACATTGTTTGGCCGTACGCTGTATCTGTGTGTTTTGTTCACAAGAAAGGCAATAGATGGTCACTGTGTCCTCACTATGCAAAGGTCAGTGTGATTTTATTCTTTAAGTAACTATATTTGCCCTCAGTTGGGTGATTAGAAAACATGGTGTAAACAAACACATCAGATTTTTTCCCCACTCAATTCTCTAGCTCCTACCCAGTTTTTTTTGTTTTGTTTTGTTTTGTTTTGTTTTTAACAGTATGGATAGGATTTGACTCTACTTTCCTCTCTGGAGTTCTCTAACATCCTCTCCTGAGAAAGAAGGGAAATACCGAGCCTCTGCTCTACTTCCACCTGAGGTGGGAGAGAACCACCTGCCAGACACAGCGATAGGTCTCCTGGGCCCAGTGAGAGGCACCTTGCTAGCTCTCTGGGGGTCTCAGTGGGAGCACAGCCCCGCCACCGCTGTCCCAGGAGGTGGCAAGGGACCAGAAGTGGAGAGAAATCATCCAGAGAAGGGAGAGATACTAGATCATTAGCCACAGTGTTCAAGTCCAGACCTGCCCTGGCGCAGCAGGCCCAGGCTACAAGCAGCAGTGTGGGCTGACTGAGTGTCAGGCTGGCATTGCAGGAATCATAGCTGAGAACCTCCCAGAAAGTGTCTTCCTCAGAAAAGGGCCTTGAGGTGCACAGATCCTGCCCACAACATACTCACCAGTTGCTTTTCCTTTAGGCAAAAATACTGTCAGAATTTTGTCTTTCAAATAAGTATTTATGTGATTATCTCCTTAGTTTGTTACTTTAGAAATATTTTAATTATAATTTTAAAAATCTATTTTAAAATATCTTCCAGTTAGTAATTATTAATTTATGTCTGTCATTCTTTTGCCAAAGCAGTTATTCACACATTCCAAACTACTCCACAATGGAATTTATTTAGAGTATCAGTTCACTTCTTTGTCATCTCCCATTTCTTTGAAACGCATGATTCCATCATTTGATTTCAATTTCTTCCCTTTTATAGTAACATTTCTTTCTTTTTAAAGAGATAGCTTGTACCTGGCAGGTGTGGTTCAGTGGTTAAGCATAAACCTATGTACCAAGAGGTCATGATTCCATGCCTGCTCAGGGCACTGCCCAGGTTTCAGGCTGGATCCCCAGTGGGGGCATGCAGGAGGCAGCCATTCAATGATTCTCTCACATCATTGATGTTTCTATCTCTATCCCCCACTTCCTCCCACTCTGAAATTAATAAAAATATATTAAAAAAATAAATAGATAGCTTGTCTCATATGAGTTACTTGGGAAAATGTAGAGAATCTTTAATTTCATGAATTTCATTCATTCAAAAGATTTTGGCACACTATTCCAATTCCTGAAAGATAGGGCTATATTTTTATCCAGTAAGTGGTAAAAGTTTAACTGTTTGATATATGACACCATTTTGAAAAATGTAGTCTTTACATGTTGCTCAAAAACATACACATATCCTTTGAAATCATTTCATTGAGGGTGAAATTAAAGTTTAGCATTTTATTTGCATGTAAATACTGAACCAAATCTATTTCAGGAAAGACCATGCTTACTTTTGTTATTAAGACTGAAGACTCTTGCCATATAAATTTTTTTTCATGAAAAAAATGGTAATATATGTTGCAACATATTTCCACTGAGGATTGAGAGAGGTAATATCCTACATATAATTTCTGAACTTTAAAATTCTAAAGAACAGGACAATGTTACATACTTTATGACAAGGTCATTTACCAGTTTGTTCCTATAAGTGTCTTCCTAGTGGAGGAAACATATTGGAATATTTAGTAGATCCCTTTAGTATGAACATTCTTTCAGTCAAACTCTTTTAATTTTCTATGGACTATTAATAGCGTTAGGTTTCATAAGTTCTCCTCTGGACATTGCTGTGTCTTTGCAAATAGGAACTTCAAAATTATGCACTTCCCGAAATCCATTCACTCTATGCACGAACAATCGAGGCTACTGATTTCTGAGACAGAATCTATCTCAGACAGTGAGACCGTGGGGCCGGAGTTAGGCGTTTTCCACAGCTAATGCCATTCAGCACTGTGGACAGCTCCCATTAAGGCCTGAAGTTGGTGGCAATTTCCCTGTGTTTCTGAACAGAACTCCGAAGTAATCTTTGTATGGCTGTACTTGTTTGCTGTTGAATAGACACCTGCTTAGGCGGCTTAGTGCGCTCGCACTCCTCTCGATGATTCTTTTTCGAACGAGTTCAGTTAATTAATTAATTAAGGCCACCCTGATTCGTGATTAGTTTTTCGTGTGTGTTTTTCGTGGAAAGCCCAGCTGATGCGGGAGCTAAAATAAAGTGGCTGAGGGTGTGCGCTCGCTAATAAGCGGATCTACTCCGCGACCTTCATTTGATAATCTCTACCCATGCTCTTCAGCGAATGAATACTTGGGTGACAAATAAGAACAGGAAACGTCTTCATTTTAAGTCTCCGAGGCAGCTACCCTGACAGCTGCCAGCTCCCTGCCCTAGTTCTCCAGCTGGGGAAAACGGGAAGGAGGTTTCTGAAATAGACTGGGAGTCAAGGTCAAGAGAGGGTGTCCCTGTGTTTCAGGAAGGGAGTCTGGGAACGCCCGCGCCTGGTTCAGGCTCGCGCCCAGCCCCTCAGCGCCGCGGACGCCGAACTCTCAAGTCCGGGCTGCGGAGCGCAGAACCCCGCGCCCAGCCTGCCGGCCGCTGTCCGCAGAAATGCATTAGGGTGCCCAGCGCCTGTACACGGGACACAGATGGACACTCCCGGGCCGAGAGCGGCCCGAGGAGCGGGGACCTGTGGGTGACTGTCCCCCCACTGGCCGCCCCAACCTCTGTTCAGCCCAGGAGCGCCTCTTTCCTTTTGGGGAGGGACGCACTTCTCGGGGGAAACGGCACGGAACCCCCAAACCACTTGCATTGCCGTCTCCTAAGGAAAAGTTTCCTGGCACAACTTTGCAGCCTCCCA